TATTGTGTGAGCGTTGTTGATTCTTGACTTGTAAATCAAGAGGACGACACATAAAGAGTTAAATGTTGTTAAATGTTTAACTGCGTCTCCCTCAAGTGCACCACAGAGGACAAATGCATCCTGCTGTAAACATTCCACCAAAGACATGCTGGGCGTCATAGCAACAAAAACACAATATGTGTGTTAGTATGAGAAACACAGAGCTGTTTTATAGGTGTGTCTGCATGTGTGTGTGTTCTCACCCTCTTGGGTATCTGTCCAGCTCATTTAGGACGGTGTGGTCGCAGTACTCAAACACCAGGTGCAGTTTTCTCTTTCTTCTGAACACCTCGATCAGATTCACCAGGTTTGGATGTTTCAGTTGCTAAATACACACAATTTAATGAACAAATTAGGATTTGTATGTGTGAAAATATATCCAAAATAGTCTAAGAACACTTACTATTTAGTTCGAATGCTGCAAGTTTGTGTAAAACCTAAGAATCATGTTTTCCAGTATTGTTTGAGAAGTTTTAAGAAGCATTTTGTGCTTTAACGAAAGGAAGAATGTCTGATCATCTGTTCAGAGGAGTTCACATGGCCGATGTCACAAATGTACTTATTTTTATAGTGAGCAAATACTGCAGAGTCTTAAATATTTATTATTCATTTTGCATCATTAAAATCCTAAAACTTTATTTAAAGGTTTTAAATGATAAAACTTCCATATTTTCAATGCAGTCTGAGACTTCTGAACCCACTTTTTATGTATACATTTGATTTAGCATTCAAGTGTTTACACAAATGTTTAATAAGATAAGCAGCCTTAAGTCTTATCAAATGTGTTTCATACACCCCATATCACTGTTGATATTAACCAAAACTTTTTTAAATTTTGATAATTGAAATAAAGCTCAAATAAAATAAAATATACATATTAGATGGAAAAACTTTATTAGATGGAAATGTTGCCTTGGCAACTAACTGAAATAAATTAGTTGAAGTACTAAAATTACTAAAACTAAAACTAAAATTAAAATAAAACTTAATGGACATATTTGTATTTATTTTAAATATTTCCATTAAACTTTATTTTCGTTGTTATTAATGAATTAATAATTTTATTTTATATTATTAACCATTTTATTATCAATAATACAAAATAAAATGAATTTATTAATAAAAATGACAAAAGCACATAACAAATTACTAAAATTAAAATGAAAACCTACAAAAAAAAGGTAATTGAAAATATTAACAAATATCGTAATAGTAGGCCTATATAAACAATACGAAAATAACACGGCTCCATATAACAGAAACAGATCAGCATCCACCCCAGAATAAATCCTAGAACCATCTTCAACTGCAAGAGTTCAGAAGTTTAGAGATTTTAATAAACTGGAACTTCCTTTAAAGACAAAATAGTAGATTTTTAAACATGATCACAGAATATTTTTACAGCCCAGAGTCAAATAAATGAACTAAAGTCTGTGGTACAGTAACATTCTGACCAGAAAAAAAAAGGGAGGGGAAGGGAACAACAAGAATGTTCATCCATCCATTCATGCATAGCAGAGTGAAATTAATTGGTGAGCCAGTGTTGGCTGACATGTCAGATCTTCAAAGGGCCACTGCTTCGCTCTCAGCTCAAAAGAAAGTGTTTGCAAATCACAAGAGCTCCAGACACTGATTATTAAAACAGTCTGTCGCCACGCGTCCACTAATGAGACAAAAAATACTACTAATACTATTCTTCAAGTCTAGAAATGATGACAGTAGCAAAACAAAATCAAGAAGACTTCCTCCTGAAACAACATCTTAAACTGCTTTGCTGGTCTTGTAGTCTGTTGGCTGATTCTAGACACTTTATACCTGACCATCCTACAAAGCCAGCTTGTCCAGGATGGGGAACCATCTTTAACAAGTTAAGACCAACAAACCATTTTAGGCTGGTTTAAACTGGGATTATATCATCAGGGTTTACCTTCAGCATGCGGATTTCTCTGAGCGCTATTTTCTTAATGCTGGGATCATCCTCAGACTCCACAAACTTCTTGATGGCAACGATCTGTCCAGTGTCTTTATTCCTGCACTTGAACACGACGCCGTACGAGCCTTCGCCGATCTTACTGATCTTCTCATACTTCTCCATCTCTGTGACACCAGCAGAACACACTTATGAAACTGCCTCACCTTGATTTTGATTGAAATGTGAAAAAATAGAGCCAAATATGTTGTTTGTAAATGACACATACTGTACATGGCTGAAGATAAAAATGCTATTACATTTTATATGAACTTTATTCCCTGTTACAGCGTAATTACACAAAGAATTACTACTAGTAAGTACATGTAACAAGGACACTGTAAAATAAAGTATTACCAAAAATCCTTACTGTAACGTATATTGTTCAGGGCCTCTTACCTTTTTAAACATTTTGAATTTGAAAATTGTTTGAACATTTAGAAATGGTTGTGGGCTCCTAAAGGTTCACATTTGACCCCACTAAGACACCAAACTTTATTCCTCACATTATTTTTTTTATTTACATATTATCTACAGGTCACTAAACTTTATTTCTTAATTAAATTCTTTTAACTTAGATGGCAATTAATTTGAGGTGCTGAAAGGAAGGCATTGCTGTTATATAACATGACTGTGGTAGAATAGATCATTTCTAGTCAAGTCTAACGCAAGGCTCGAAATTGCGACCATTTTGGTCGCATATGCTCCCGAAATTTAATCTGTGCGACCTCAAAATATATTTGGGAGCATTTGTGCGAGTGCATATAATGGCGCTTTTCCA